TCTGATATGGGTAAAAAATATGGGTCATCCTTGAAATTTATTATAGGAATAATCTTTCAATTGTAAGTTAACCCTATCACAGTTTTTTTTATTAACTATCAATGTTATTCACACGATAACGCAGCTAAATGAAGAATAATTATACATTTTTTAAAGCTTACGCAAAAATTACTCAATTAGACAAAATTACCTCTTGTTTCACCTTGCCTTAAAAATATGTTTCGATTGTTTTTATGTAAAAATTATTTTCCAAGCGGAATTAATTGATTTTTATATAAACTTTTGCAATTTTTAAATGTTCTTAGATTGTAGCGTTGACTAATAAAGGTATGCAATTAATAATAATCGCCGTACTTAATAAACAGATGGTTAATATGACGTATATTCGTAGCAATAATTTTATACACACAGTAAGTAATTGGAAAGCACTTATATAGAGTATTTAAATAAGAGAAATGATGTATAGAGGTATAGCAGTAAATTATTAAAAATACGAATAAAAAATCTAATTTATTAATTAGACTAATTCTTGAAGAAATCTGTGTATTTCGCCTCCGAAACAGAAATCTACTTATTCCGAAAGTATCTATTATTTTTCTACCCTTTTTTATATTTACTGAAACGCCTCCTACGTATATAATTGTTACTTGTATATATGTCACTGCAAATGTCCGAAATGCGGTAAAACCTAGGATAAGTGCGCTAAACATGCGCTAAACCTAGGATTTACCAAAAGCAAGTGGTAAAAGCTCAAAAACTTCTTTATTTTGCTTCATTTCGGACTTTTACCGGACCCAAACAGTAAATGTTAGGATTTACCACACCGCATTGGTAAAAGTACGAATTATTTTTCTTATAGCAACAATATCGACAAATTAAGGATGTCGATATACAAAGACATCTCTGTTTTTGTTTACAAGGCATTGAAATTTTAACGATTATCGTTTCACGATGTCGATATTTGTAACGTATCAGTCTTATATTTGTTACTGTAAATGTCCGAAATGCGGTAAAACCTAGGATAAGCACGCTAAACCTAGGATTTGCCAAAAGCATTAATTAATTAGGTTAGCCTGGTTATTTGGGGGGTGTTAATGCATTGGTTAGCCTGGTTAGTTGGGGGGTGTTACTGCATTGGCTAGGTAGTTATTTGGTGGGGCTGGTTGGTTTTTACTACCACTTGCTTTTCGTACTTTTACCAATGCGGTGTGGTAAATCCTAAGATTTACTGTTTGGGTTTGATAAAAGTCCGAAATGGAAGCAAAATAAATTGTTTTCGGGCTTTTACCACATGCTTTTGGTAAATCCTAGGTTTAGCGCGCTTATTCTAGGTTTTACCGCATTTCGGACATTTACAGTAACCTATATAAATGTAGTGTATTGTCATGTAGGTACCGGGTGGCCAACTAAGAATGGACGCCGGCTGTATCTCAGAAACAACTTATCGTATAACTTTGGGAAAAAAATTGTAATAAGTAAAACGGCCAAGAGAAATAGCGGTAAATTAATTTCAAGTTCGAAAAATGTCCGCTGGGGGGCGCATATGTGATGGCCAATCAGAAAACAGGATATTTCTCAAAATTGGGAAATTTGTAATTTTTTTGATATAGCGTATTTTGCTCATCATAAAACAAAGTTGTGGGAGAAGATTAAACTTTTTTTTATTTAAATAAGGAAAACTCTGGTTTGGGTTATGTGATTTAAACAAACTAGGTCTCATTTAAAAGAGCCTTTCTTTCTTAATAATTTACAGCATACATTTTGTTTCCATACATTTTTTCAAGGTAGCTCTACAGGGCGCTATTTGACACCGCAACAGATAATGCCCTTTTGCATAAAAAAATAAATAGTTGGTTATGAATCTTTTTAAAGAGTCAAATAGAGCAAGAGAGTTATCCTTATTTTAATAAAAGAAAGTTTAACCTTCCCCCACCATTTTATTTTATGAGAGATCAAAACAAATTACAAATTCTTTATTAATTACCAATAGCAATCTTTAAATACCTCTTTACCTGCATATTTTTGAGAAAAATCCTGTTTTCTCATTGGCTATCATAGATACGCCCCCTAGCGGACATTTTTCGAACTTGAAAATAATTTCCAGCGATTTATCTTGGTTGATATACTTATAACAATTTTTTTTCTGAAGTTATACGGTAAGTAGTTTCTGAGATACAGCCGGCGCGCGACGGTCATCCTTAGTTGGCCGCCCGGTACATTGCAAAAAAAAACAATTACAAGTTTGTGCTAAGCGAGAAGGTTTCCACAGATGACAAAAAATAATAGAACATACAATGTATTTGTTAATTAAAGGGAGGACTAAGCTGCCTATGATGATGATATAATAACAAAAAATGTCATATATTGTAATATAATCTAAAAAATAAACCTACGTATGACGTTAATAACAGTACTTTCTCTGAGATGTTTTGTACTTTTTTGAAAAGATTTTTTCAAGCTTATCAATGTGGACGTGAGAAGCAACGAAAGCGCGGTATAAATTCGTTCTATATTTTATTCAGTTTCAATATTACGTGATTTCTATTATTATTGCGAATGCAATAAATATAAGTATTAGTTGTTAATAGCACATAAATTTGATTTTAAATAAAAAATAAGGTATTACAGTCTCATGCTCATTGATACGTTAGTTAATATTTTTAGCTGACCATACCAACAGGTATGGTAGGCTAAAGATCGGCAAAAAAAAGTATTTTTAATTTCACTCAAAATGAGTTATTTGGGTCATAAATGACCTAAATACAAAAATATTTTCATAGTGTCTGTCTGTCCGTCTGTAACACGATAACTCAAAAACCGCTAAACCGATTTTAACCAAATTTGGCACAAAAATACTGTGGCACCCGAGAATCTGGCCATTAGATTTTGGTGGGGGTGGGGGGTTGGTAAGGGGGTATGGGAGGGAGTTAAAAATTTAAAAAAATCGTAACTCCAAAATTACAGTAGCTAGCGAAACGTGGTTTTCAATTTAAGATTAGGAATATTTGCAACAAAATTTGTAATAACATCAAAATCAGTCAAAGTCGCAGTTTTTGAGATATTCCGTGTTTCCTTAGTCCGTTTTTGAGAAAATCCGTGTGGAGAACTCCAAACTCACATCGGACGCGACCCCAGGTGGCGGATAGGGGAAATAACCGCGGACCAAAATTGGAAAAATTCCTTTACTTTGAACCTAAAAGAATGCCTACTAACGTTTTATTAACATATTTTAGTATGGGCAGTTATGCGTGCCTCCCGGCGCCAATTTTTTTAAATATATTTTAAATAAAGGAATGTTTTTTTTCATTTAATTATATGTAAAATCAGCACTTCATTCAAATTCAAATTAGTTATTTAAAAATAACAGACATTAATTTACTAAAGATTTTCGTGACATTGTTTAATGTCTCGAAGAAGTTATTGAAGATACCGTATGATCGAAGAAAAAAAACGCGTCAGTGATGGCTATGAAATGAAGATCGCTGTCATTTTATATATAAATTTATATGGGAAATATCATCGATCGTCATTTTCCAGCGAACTGGGCGCCGTTTTTTTGATATCTATAATCTGTCTACTAATATACCAAGTCTGATCAACAGGAAACAATCCCTGACGGTTGTGTCGATCATTTTAATTCAAAGTCCAATTTTATTTTGGGTCATTTTTTGAATATCGCCTGTCGAAATCTTTCCTGAATCATTGGGGAGACTATATATTTAGCGTATAGAATGAACATAATATTATATGCCGTGCGTCTCAAAAGTGGCTCAACCCTATAACTTTTTTCAGATAAAAAAATCGAGATTTGGTTTGTTAGCATATGCTATAAATTAGGATTGATCGACGTATTCAATTGTTTTCGGTCATTTCCTGTTTCACCGGAAATGACTACAACTTTTCATTTTTAAATGGCACCTTCCGTATTTTTGTACTTTATTCGATAGAAAATGACACTCTGAATAGAATAATGCCTTGTCATATTATGTGAACTTTTGACATTTTCGCATATCGTTTATTTGAACGGCAATTTGACTCGAAATACCAACTGTGTGGTATCAAATTATTCGTAAAAAATGCTATTTCCAAATCTGATAAAGCCACCTTTGTTCCATCTGAAAAAATTGCGATTTGATTAAAAAACAATTTGGGCATTTTTTAACTGGCCAGGACGAGACACAAAAAAAACATTAAATGAGCAAATCTATTTTTCCAAGGCTCCTTGACTAAGCATTATTATTTTTAACTTAGCCATGGCACTCTAGATTGAAATTTAAAATACGATTTTTTAAGCGAAATTGTCAAAAGTTGACATATGATATATCATTCTATTCAGAGTGTCAAATTCTATCAAATAAAGTAAAAAAATACTGAGCATGCAATTTAAAATTCAAAAGTTGTAGTCATTTTTGATTAAACAGGAAGTGACCGAAAACAATTGAATACGCTAATTAATCCCTAATTTATGTCATGTACTAACATACGAAATCTGGTTTTTTACCTAAAAAAATAAAAAAGTTATAGGAAGCCACTTTTGACTTGATGCACCCGGTATAAGTGCTATATATATAAAGATACACACACTCGAATAAAAAGTGAGAGAAAAGTACGGTAATAATAATAATAATAAAGTAATAATATTGATTTTTTTAAATAAATTCAATAAGCTGTAAATTTTATTTTGAATTTAATATATAAACCGGAAGATAAGTACTAAGAAAAAATAAATAAAAAGAAAATTATCGATAATCAATAAATCAATAAAAATATTGTTAACAGAAAAAATAGTTATACATTAAAAGAAGAAGCTCTCTTCCTTAAGAACATTAATTCAAAAACAATACCACACCAAACTTCAATGAAAAACCGCACATAACATTCCATAATTCATGGAAACAACAATGAACCCATCCACTTCACCGGGCTTTCCACACCCGCACACTCAAACAAATCCGCGCAATTTTGCAAAACAATAATAAACAATTAGATGAGAACCATACCGTTTTCATGATTTACTTAGGCAGCACAATCGATAGTTTACAGCAACCGTTCATAATAACTTTATACTATAGACGACGGCATTGTTAATAGTAACTTTATATACCCCCTTCACTTTGCCAATGTAATGCACCTGCCGCATGCCGGCGTGAATTCTGCATTCTGCATAGCGTCGTCGGATGGGTGGACCCTTGATGATGATGAAGGTTTTTCACACAAGAAACACCTTTTTTTCTATGTCAAATGAAAGTTGATTTAGTTTTGGGAGGTAGGTTTAGAATTTATAGCATAACAAAAGAATTTGAAAGTGAACTGTCATTACATATCGTCAATATAGTCTCAATTATAGCAAGAATTGGGATAAAGTACAATATAATATCTACGGTATTCGCAAAACATTTTCCGATGCACGTCATCAATCATATCGACTTTGACACTAAAGTCTATAAAGCTGACTAAATGAAATTTTGACAAAAGTGTTTAAATTTATAGTATAATTTAAGATCTCGAGCAGCTCTTCATTTTACTTTATAGAGCAAATGATTGTAACAGATATTTTATTTAGATTAAAGCTGTAAAAATTAGTTTAAACCGAATTTTGTTATTGCGAAGTTGGTCACATTGCGCCGCGTTCAGCAACGTTGTCGTTTATTATTTGACAATTATCCTAATGTCAGTCATTATTTTGTATAATATCGTTTTGTTGTTGACTCTTCGGGAGTAATTCTCGTTTTTTTGCCTATTTTCATAGGCTCTTTAAAAATCGTACTTTTAAGCACAAACAGTTTTTTAAGAACTATATTTTCGAGTTTTTGTATTGCATTTCTTGAAATTGTGAAAATATGTCGAAGCAAAGAGCTTGTAGCTTCCCTGATAAACTATTTTGAACGAGAACGTGACAATAAATGTTCTTTATTACCCTTGCCTGCAGTCAGAGAAGTAAGTCTGATTGATAAGCACATTATACCACTTTCAGAGTTATTTCTACGTTAATTTTTATTAAATTCCGTGATTATTAGTTTGTGCATTAATAGCACCCTCTTACTGGTTATTATTACTTATTTACTTATGGCGTTATGTGTGTTATACATTGTATATTATTGCTATTGTAAGATGTGTGTAAATCAATAGATGAATAAACAACCTAGAATAACGCTTAGAATAAACCGAGGAATAAACTTCATAATGGACTACTTTTGGCCAATGTGTAATAAGTAAAATAAGCTATAAAACAAATAAATCAATTAATTACTAAAATATTAGTTATTAAATTAAAAATAAAACGTAAAAATCTTTAAAAAATGTTATAATAAATATGCATATTGCATGTCAATTTTAAATTAAGATTCATCTCATACATCCATCACAATCTGGCAGCGCTGTCGCCATCGCTTGTCATTCAAAGTTGATCACGTGCATCGGAAATTGTTTTGCGATTACCGTTATCTAAAGAAGAAAACATTCGACCAATGTGTAAATGATTGCGACCAACTAATTGAAGCAAAATATCCTCCGACCATGTAGGCTCCATGCTCGCCGATCAGACCAGAACGACGAACCTGCCACAACGCCGCCGCCGTCCAAATTATAACTGCGAGCTCCTTTCTGTTCTAATTTTTCAAAAACCGACAAGAAGTGGATCGCGACGATCACACTGTGAGCGGCTTGCGAGGCGCTCGCGGGAGGAGTACACGTATGACGAATTGAGCTTGTGGCAGGCTCGGCTCGTGGTCGGCTCGCGTTGTGCTCGCCATATGTATACGCACCTTAAATGTCATCCACAAAATCGAATCTCCCAAGTGGCAGTGGGCAGCACACAGCACACCTGGCAAGAAGGACGGACAACAGATGGACCGCATAATTTACAGCAAGGTACCCTACGAAGAATTTTGAGACCTAGAAAAAGACCGAACCTGAGATGGGATCATGATATTAAGAAACTAGCAGGGATAACTTGAGCTCGCATAGCTAAGAATAGACAACAATGGGCCCAATGGCAAAGAGAGTATAAATATGTGAGGGAGGCTACATAATAATTGGAAATGGTTGCTGAAAATGATGATGATGATGATGATGAATATCTATAAAATCCTGTGTATTTCGCTACTGAAACTTTATTTTAGGTGCTATTCGATGTTTATATCTCAAAAAATCTAATATAATACAAGTTTATTACATTGAAAATATGTTGTTACTCGCAAATACTGAAATAATGTTACTATAAATACCTATATAATTTTCTCAAACCAAGTCAACCTAAAATCTTATGCTAATTTTGTATTTACTATGTACTTGTAAATGTCGTGAGATGTAAATACTTATGTACAATATCAGACAAGAACGCATGAAAGAAAATCATTGCAGTTTATATAAAACTATAAGAAAAGTTATGTAAATTTAATGCTATTCATAATTAGTTACTTATTTGTTATTTGCCATTATTAAATTGTCTTATTGTTGTGAAAGTTTTCCTCAAATATTTAACGACAATTTGCATAAATTAATCTCGGTTGTCTAACAATTACATTATTAATAATAATATCAGAAAAATACGGTATTTTATATAAGCAAAATCGTTTTTGTTTGCTAAGTTACATGTTGTGTTAGTCAAGGTTAATTATAATGCAAGTTACAGAGCATTTTTTTTGCTTGAAGTATGTAGTACACATTATCCAGTTATTATTCTTCAGCTACATAAATTATTCTTTTAGTAATATTAAGTTTTGTATAGGGTATATATTAATAATATTATTTGAAATAATAAGGTCTAGTTAAACTTTTGCTGCAATTCTACTAATTACTTCTTCTTATCACGCCCTCTCCTGACGAAGGTTAGCGATCCAAATGGCAATTGTGGCTCTGGAAACTGCAGCCAGGAAGATTTCCGCAGACGAGCGTTCAAACCATCTCTTTAAACCTTTTAGCCATGAGCTCTAGCGTCTTCCTACTGATCTTTTCCCTTGCACTTTGCCCTCTATTTTGAGGCGCAGTATTTCGTATCTATCACCTCTCATCACATGACCCAGCTATTGCATTTTTCTTTCTTTGATGGTATTCAGTATCTCTTTTTGTTTCTGCATGCACTGGAGTACTTCATCGTTGGTGATCCTTTGTACCCATGAGATTCGCAGCATCCGTCTGTACACATACATTTCGAAGGCTTCTATTCTCTTTTCGGTCTGTGAATCCAGTGCCCAGCTCTCACATCCATAGAGTAACACAAAGCAGACGTAGCATCTGGCCATTCGAGTTCTGAGTTCCGCACTGAGGTTTCCGCACTGAGGCCTGAATTACTCCTAGTTTGGTGCAATAACTATATGTGTAACTTATATTCAGTTTTCTGTTCAAAAAAGTCCAATGGGTATTTCGCCACTTGCACTCTGAGAAAATCTACAAAATCGCAATAATAGTAGAATAGCATTTTTCAGAGAATTTAAACCACTTACATAGGTATATTTTAATTCCACAAATAATATTCCATATCGAGAAATTCGATAGCGAAATATAAAATAGTTCTTTTATTGATATTTTATATATTTTTGCACTACTAATATAAATGCATTAATAGCGTATAACAATTTATAAACTAAAATGATAAAGTAGAGGTATAAGTCTATAAAAGTTAAGTAAGGAATATTACGAAATCGGTAATATAACTAAAAGCTATAAGAATTCATACTATATCTAAAGAAACTGGATATACCGGGTGCGTCTCAAAAGTGGGTCACCTCTATAACTTTTTTTTATTTTTTCAAATAATAAAACGATATTTGGTATATTAGTATATGACATAAATTAGGATTAATTGACATATGCAATAATTGTTTTCGGTCACTTTCTGTTTTATCGGAAATGACTACAACTTTTGATTTTTAAATGGCACCCTCGGTATTTTTTTACTTTATTCGATAGAAAATCGATGTAAAAATGCTTTTTCCAAATTTGCTAATAAGCGACCCTTGTTCCATTTGAAAAACTTGAGATATGATTTAATCATTCTAGATATGATTTAGTCAATCCATCAATCCAGTCAATCCATCCTAATTTATGTAATATACTAACATGCCAAATCTCGTTTTTTTTATGTGAAAAAATAAAAAAAGTTATAGGTGTGACCCACTTTTCAGACGCACTCGGTATAAAGTGTGTTAAAAAAAGGATTGATTTAAGAATTTTCATTAATGTTGAAATACCTATTCTTCTCCTGTGTTCATGTTTGTGTTAATATTTTTTCAATTTTCTCTTGACTGATTACTTAATAATTTGATATTATTTATTATTTTCATTAAAAATATTTTTTATCGATTTTACTATTGAAAACCATCCCTTGCTTGCTGATAAGCAAACTTGATTGACACCATTATTGAACAAAAATTAGCTAGTACCGAAAGTACCGAGAAATCCTGGTTCCTAGAGTTGTGTTACCGAAATTCCCGGTTCCGAAGAAACCCTAGCATACATATAAACGTAGATTTAAATTCTGAACAATTATTTCCCTCTTTTATTTTTTTCGAAATTTTATTATCTATAGGTACTCATTTTTTGTATACCTCGAAATGGAAATATTTTTTTTTGAAATTGGCAATGACAAATATCATATCAATATATTTCTCTTTGTAATTGAGCATGCTAAAGAAATTCTGCCTAAAATAATAAAAAAAATAAACATTTGTTTTGAAATTTTCGGCACAACCTGTATTGCAAACTACATCAAGTTAGTATTTTTTACAAGTTTTCCAAGGGATAGTGCAAAAAATTAGTGCCATTTTCATTTTAAAACCAAATTTTTCAAAAATGTATGCCATAAATTAACCTCTTTGTATTGCAGTATTGGTAAGTGTTTTACATTTTAATATACAGGGATTGTTTTTACAAGAGGAAAAACATTTTTTTATTGACATTTTGAGAAGAATGCATTTTCCATAAAAATTTTTGCTTGTTCTAAAATGGTTTAATCCCGTTTATACATTTTCAAATTTCCATACCGTTTTAGAGAAAGTTAAGAAAAAGATGAAAATATTGTTGAATGTTATTGAAATTATTGTTGAAGTCCTAAAAATAAAAAAGGGTATGGTAATATCAATCCATTTCATTCTTTGATTG